TATGTGTTATCTGTTAAAAAAAAGTTTTAAAGCTACTTTTTTCATCTTGCACTCTCATTCACAATGAGGAAACCAAGCCCAGTGAAATCTCACACCACTACTCAATTGAGGTATAGGTCTCATTTTTCTACTCTTGTCCTCCTCATTATGTGTTTGAGCTTTGTAGGAAATTTTCTTAAAGCTTATGGATCACCATTCAAATTTCCCTCTGTTATTCTCACTCAGACTAGTAAATCAGGAGACCTGGCTTCTAGCTATAACCAACCAGCTATATGCTATGGTCTGAGTATTGTGTCCTTCCAAAATTCATATGTAGAAAAACTTAATGATCATCAACATAATAGTGTCCAGAAGCAGGGCTTTTGGAAGGTGATTAACAACCCTCATGAATGATGTCTGTGCCCTTACAAAAGAAGCCTCAGAGAGCTACCTTGCCCTTTCCACCATGTGAGGAACAACTAGTAGGCACCATTTATGAACCAGTTCACCAGACATCTAATCTGCTGGTACCTTGATCTTAGACTTACTAGCCTCTAGCACTATAAGAAATATATTTCTGTTGTTTCTAAGCTATCAAGTTTATGGTATTTTGTTATAGCAGCCTGAATGAACGAGACACTATATAACTTTAAGTAAGGTACAACTATTCTGAGCTCTGTATCTGAGAAGTGCTCAGAGAAGTACCTGTGCTGCCTTGTGGTAAGAGGTTGTAAGGAGCAGATGACAACAAAATGCAAAACTACTTTGACTGCCATAAAATGTCATCTTTTTGTCTTGTTGAAGGAAGGAAAACAAAAGGAAGAAGGAGGGAAAAAAAGAAAGAAGACAGGATTTTAGGTTTACTTCTATTTCTGTCTCATCAGTAGTAAGTTTCTAATCTCATAAAAAAAGGAAAAATTCATAAAATAACTGCCACGTCTCTCTGTGATGAGGGAGACTGACAATCCCTGCCCTCCGACTCGTGGGTCCCAGATTTCACACGACTAGTTCCAGCCCTGGAGTGGTTTGTTTCACAGTCTGTGTCTGACTGCATGCAACGCTCAGGCCCTGGATTAGGAAACTCAAAATGTGTTCCAGTGAAACCTAAAATGTGTTTTGCCCCCAGACCTTTTCCTTTTATCTTTCGAGACCCGTGTAATTTAATGGAAATAGAAGAAGTGTGGGACAGATTCCACTCCTTCCGCACGTCTCCCTGTGCTTTGTACCCATTAACTTCAGAGGAATTTAGCCTGGAAGGGAGTAAATGTGGGTGTAGAAAGGGATAAAACGTTGTGGTTCTTTGAAAGCAGGGGGTGGGAGGATGGGTAATCTCCAAGTTTTTTAGCCACCAAAGCCACAGCCCATGAGAAATGCATGCATGTATTTCTTTTCAGTGAGTGAGGCTTGTGCCAAGTGGCTGTCTGAAGAGGAATTCACTCTCACATCTTCAAGTACACTGCCAATGTCTCCCAAGCCCAGATGTTTCGAGTGACCCAAACTTCCCCTTACATCTCTGACTCTTCCTAGATGTATCTATCTGACTGTCCTATCATCAACTCAACACATCAAAAGCCAAATCCATTTCCTCCCCCTCCCCCTCCAACTAACCACATCCACTCTACATGTTACTGGTAATGTCACCACCATTTCTCTTGACATTCAAACTATAAATCTTAAGCCTGTTTCTGACTCCTTCTCCTTGCTGTTCCTCCATTCCCAACCAGGTAAGAAATATTCTTTCTTATTTTTTTATGATCTTATTCCCTCTCTAATGTCCATTTTCTATCTAGTGCTGTTGCTGGAACTTTATCTCATTCTCCATTATCTCCTATCATATGAACTCTTACAATGGCATAAGGAATAATGTTCATTTAGAACAAGGTTTTTCAATCTCAGAACTATCAACATTTTGGACTGAGAAAGTACTTTTCGGGGGTGGAAATGTGTTCTATACATTGTGGGATGTTTAGCAGTGCCTCTACCCACTAGATGCCAATAGCATCCCTTGGTGGGTGGAGACAACCAAAAATGTTTCCAGACATTGCCAAATGTCTCCAGGGGGCAAAGTTATCCTGGTTGATGACCACTGCTTTAAACCAAGCATGTCCAATACTTATCAAGCATGCCATCACTTATCTTTCCTGAGATTATAGGAGAAACCTGTAACCAATCAATATAGTTTATCCTGCAGAGACAACATGCAGCCTCTGGGTCTTTCTCAACATAGCACAGGTAGCAGCTAATACCAACTCATCAGAATGCTCAGAACCCTATTCAATCATCCCTGATCTAGCCTCTTTGTTCATCAAAATCAGTAGATCCTTTTTGTCTCTGTATCCCACCCTGCTTAGCATTTAAGATACTTTTAGGATATATTTTTGATAGAGATAATGGATGAATCCATCACCCCTTGCTCCTTTCCACAATTGAGAGTCATGAATTCCACAGCCAACTCTCCGTGTCCCCTGCAATTATGCAGGTGCCCTTTACAATGGCACCCTCCCTATTTCAGGAGAACACAACTCACACATCATAGACACCATAGAACTGCATATCTGCCATAATGATAAACTTCTTTTTAAATTTTTTTTATTTCAAAATATTAAGGGGATACAAATGTTTTTGTTACATGGATACCTTTTATAATGCTTAAGTCGGGGCTTTTAGTGTGCCCATCCTGAATAGTGTCCATTGTACCCAATAGGTAGATTTTTACCCTTCCCCTTCTACCTCCCTGCCCCCTGCTTGATTTCCTATGATCTTTACATATCTTTGTACCCATGTGTGCTTATCAATTAACTTCCAATTATTAGAGAGTATATGTGGTTGTTTTCCATTCCTGAGATACTTCACTTAGGATAATGGTCTCCAGTTCCATCCAAGTTGCTGTGAAAGACATTATCTCATTCCTTTTTATGGCTAAGTGGTAATCCGTGATATATACGGCACATTTTCGTAATCCACTTCATGAATTGATGGGAAGTTAAGTTGATTCCACATCTTTGTGACTATAAATTGTGCTGTAATAAGCATTTGAATGCAGGTAGCTTCTTGATAAAAAAGGCTTCTTTTCCTTTGGGTAGATAACCAGTAGTGGGATTGCTGGGATGAATGGTAGGTCTATATTTATTTCTTGGAGGCATTTCCATACTGTTTTCTATAGAGGTACTAATTTCCAGTTCCACCAACACTATGTAAGCATTCCTTTCTCTCTGCATTCACATGGGCAAGATAAATGTCTGTCTAATGGAACAAGTGTCTTGAGAGAGGTGTGATTTTTTTCCTAATTTGGACAAAAGTGTTTGCAAAAAAATGAATTACAAACTTCTCACTGTGAAATCCACAATGAATACTCACCTCTCAGAACCAGCATAAAGCTTAATTCTTTAGTTTGATATTCACAGCATTCTAAGATCTGCTCCATCTACCATTCTATGTTTCTTTCTTAATTTTCTCTTTTATGAGACGTTAGTTCCACTTTGGGGGTCTGAGAGCACTTGCATCTCCACAATTTTGTTGATTCACGTCTCACCACCTGGGATGCTCTAATCAACAATCGCACACATTTATTGCTTACCTGTAAGAACACAGAAAACCAACATGTTTTAGGGGCCTTGTGAAACATATGCTTTACATGCTATTCACTTAATCATGTGAGTAGAATTATCTCTAATTTACAGATGAGGGAACCAAGTTTCAAAGAGTCTCCTGAATGGGGTGGAAGTAGGTCGCAATTTGAGGCCTCAACAGCACATGCCTCTTAATAGTTATTTCTCTATTCCCGTCCTTCCTGTTTTTCTGCTCAGTCCCAGGGAGGGAGGAATCGCTCTTAAACCCAGCTACTTTGCAGTAATAAAACATGACTGGTTATGACAGGTTGTCTTTGTCATAGCCAACCACAGTATAGTGTTCTGGGGAAGAAAGGGGAAGAGTTTGCTTTGGGCATCAATGTCTGTATCACTCCACAGCCAGAACACATTAGTTAAAAATATTAGAACTTAAAGTCACAAGCAAAAGAACAATCTAAGTGTGCAGAGCAGGGGACATGAAATGACTTTTCATCCACACCAACACAAAAGACCATCAGCAGTGAGGGCCCAACTTCGAAAGACCAGGACAGCAGTATGTACAGATCCACAAAATCAAATTCAATTTTATAGACAGGAAGGAAAGAAAGAAATGAAGTAATGAAAGTGTAAGAAAGTAGTTATGAAGGTAAATGTTGGAGATGGGGGTCTTTTATAGAATGTAGAGTACAGATGACCTGTTTATCTCTATTTTCCATTAATTTTAAGTATGGGAAAGAATAGCAATCCTTTTAGGAGCAAGCAGGCTTTTAATATTATCCTCACAGAACTACACTAGTAGAACTAAAACATCATTAGAAGAGAGCTAGAGAGAACCAGAGGTCATTTGAAAAATTTGTTAAATTTCAGATGAGGAAATTGAGGCTTCAAAAAGGGAAAATAACCCCCAAGAAACATATGATAAACGAATGGCAGAGATTAGAACTCCCATTCCTAGCACCACACACAATATTCTTTCTACATGTCCACCCAGATTCCTCTGACATTTTGTGACCTACGTTCTATAAATTACTACTGGAGGTTCATCCCAGAAGTTGTCACAGACATGGGGAACGTGAAAGCTTGGCCACTCTCCTCTCTAGAACATTAATTCTGTGTGTGAGTCAGCACAAAAAATAGTTTACACTTCATTTATTCATGTACTAATTTTGAATTAAGCTGCACCACATAAATTCTCCTGAAAAATGATGCAATTAAGCCTGGACTATTTGAGGAAGGACAACAACATGTGGCTGTAATTATAATGGCAAAACATCTTGGTAGCACGCTGACTTATTAGTGCGGTAATTAGTGTTGGTGCAATGCATACTGAATAGTCCATAAAACAAATAACGCAATGTAAAATCCTGAAAAAGAGTCATAATTTTCAAGTGAACAATCTTTGGATATTTTGCCTGTGGCATGAACCATTTGGACCAAATTGTTTCAGCCACTACATATAGGAAACTCTGCCTCCCTCTTGAATGTAGAGTATCAGAAAGCTCTTGAACTTCTGGCAAAATGTAGAACTCATGTATAAAATCTGGAAAATTAGAATAAATGAATTCTGTTAGAGACTAATTATATAAACGCTAAAACGTAAGTGAGCATTTGCTGTATAATCTTGGATTTTGGAATAGGTTGAACCAATACTAGTATTAAAATCACAAAATGGATTTAGCTATTTCTACAATGTATAAATATTTCAAAACATCATGCTCTATACCATAAATATATACAATTTTTGTCTACTTAAAAAATAATAATTTATTAAAGTCACAAAATATGTGACTTGTAATGTAAAATTCTCAGTCCCATAATAATATGCCTTTGAACTGGATGGAATCTTGAGACATCATTTTTACTGATCCCCTAACTTAGGACAGTAAGGTTTTACAATTTTATTTTATAAATGAAATAACTTATTCCTGGGAAATCTCAATAAGTACAATCATAAAAAATGAAATACTACAATGGGAATATAACTTAGTTCCCATATAAATTCCATCTATATTCAGTCCATGAATTTACCTTAAAACATTTCCTCAGATCTTAGACTCATTCCTTTTATAATCTATAATCTTACTGGAAATGTTTTATCCAAAATATTGGATAAGAGAGATCCAAGAATAAAACACTAGTAAAAGCTTCTCTGGACTGTCTTTGGCTGGTTCTGAACATACTCTAAGTCATGTACTCATGCTTGTATCTTGGGGCAGGTACTGAGAAAGTGGAAGAAACCAGGTGAGAGCAGAGCTGTGGTTGTACTGAACAGCGCAGGATGCTTCTCTGAGTGAACTCAAGACTTAGTGAGATGGTGCCCAGTGAGGTGTGAAAATCCTCATTTTGATATCCATGGGGATATTAAGAATCTATGTGGATTCTTAAAGTTATCAGGATGACACCATCATTATTTCCAATGGGAAATTTTGTGTGACATACTATCCCAGCCAATGGCCTGGGAGCTCAGAAAGTAAGATTTGGGAGGGTGCCAGAAAAGGTTAGGCAGTGAGTGATGATTCTGTGAATGGCATGTGTGTCACATCAGGCTTTGAAGTCATGGCTAGAAGTTGGATTTCACCCTTAATTATGATGGGTGCCTGAAAAGGTGCATCCTGGCACGCTGGACGTCTAGTTGCAAAAGCTGAAAATTGTGGAGCACCCACTTTGTGCCAGGCATTGTTCTAAGAACCATACGTGAAGTAGCATGCTCATTTTCAAAACAACCCTAGGAGGAGGGTCCTATTATCATCCTCTTCAATAGGTATAGAAAGGAGAATAATTTTACCAAGTTTGCACAGACAGAAATGAGCAAAACCAGAATTTCAGCCCCTGCAGTAAGTTCAAGAATATAGTGTTTATGCTATGGCTGCCTCTTAAATGGAGTAAGATAAATTCTAGTTCTTACCTATTGGTGGGTATTAGGCTGCTATGACATGGTCTATTTCAGTTAAGGATAATTCAAATAACAGGTAGAATTTACCCTATGGTTGAAATCATTAGTCCTAAAAGCTGAAAGGAACCACAGGGGAGGAAAAAGTAGATTTAATCAACCTATGGCTAACAGATTAAAGAGGAGCCAACTTTTATGTCTCCACCTTCCCATGTGGGTCTTGTGAAGTTGTTACTCATATCCAAGTGTACTTTTTTATGCTTTGGGTCTAGCAGGCTACCAGTGCTCCAGATAACCTCAGGGTTTCAAATCCTCTCTTTGCCTCTTGCTCTCGGTCAGTCCTTGGGCATTTCATTCTCCTTCTCTGAGCCTCAGCTTCCTCATCTGGAAAATGACAATGAAAATATTCCGTAAGGTCGTATCCAATGTTAAAACAGGAAATATTTGTGAAGCATGAGCTCTGGAGCCAGGCTGCCTCAGTGAGAATGCTGATGATTATCACTGTTTGGTGTTGTGACCTTGGGCTATAGACTCAACCTTTCTGCTCCTCATTTTCCACTTCTATAGAATGAGAGTCATAATGGAGCCTATTTCAAGGGGTTCTTTTGAAGATTAAATATGTTAATCCACCTAAAATGCATATAATGCTTTATAATATATGCCAGATTCATGGTAGCTATTTTTGTGATTATTACTGTTGCTGTTGTTAGCAGAGTGCTTAATTGGATCCCCTTTTCTCTACCCTTTGCTCTCCTCCATTAAACAAGAAGAGTGAGATTAGTGTCTGGAATTTGACAACATGTTGAATTCTTGTAAACTTCAAGATAAAGCAGTTTGTTCTTTTCAAAACTATTGAATCTGCTCCCTATCACTCATTTTATACCAATTATATGTAAATTATAAGATGCACAGGACCACATACCATGGCTTATTACAATAAAGTTACTTGGAGGCAGCTTATGTGTTTGGAATCTAAGTTCCAGCTCTGCCACTAGGTCACTTTATGACCTTGACAAGTCACTTACTTGCTCTAACCCACCTTAGGAAAAATAGTGTCTATATTTCAAGCTGTGCCATAATTACAATAGAGTGGATTTTTTAAGTCAGTGATAGTAGAATCTGAATCTTAGTTCTGCCAAGCATGAGCTGGGTAATTTTAAGTTAGTGATCCCTTCTAATTCTCAGTTTCCTTATCTGCAGATTACTGAGCATATTATATTCTTTAAGAGAAGTATGTGAGGGTTAAGTGAGCTAAGGGTCATAGAATGTGCTTAGTCATGCGCTTGGCTCATGGGAAGGACCTTCATGCCTTCCCAGCTCCACCCCATCCCCACCCTCTGTGCCCAAACTTGAGTATACATGTAAGTACACACTCATACACCAAAGTAATCTCTTATGTTTTGATTCAACATCAAGCGCTCCTTAGCATCATTTGAAAACTTTGGGTGCAGCATTGTTGGGGGCAGAGTGACAATGTGACTGTTCTCTAGGCCTTTTTTTTGGTTATCTTTTCAGGACATCATGTTTTCTCGTTTTTTTTTTATTTCAAAATATTAAGGGGGTACAAATGTTTTTGTCACATGAATACCTGGTATAATGTTTAAGTTAGGGCTTTGTGTGTGCCATCCCCAGAATGGTGTTTATTGTACCCAATAGGTAAGTTTTTATCCCTCATTCTCCTCCCACCCTCCCCTCTCTTGGTTTCCAATGATCATTGCATCTCTCTGTGCCTGTGTGTGTCTATAATTTAGTGAGAAAATATGGTGTTTGCTTTTTCATTCCTGAGATACTTCACTTGGGATAATGGTTTCCAGTTCCATCCAAGTTGCTGCAGAAGACATTATTTCATTTCTTTTTATGGCTGAGTAGTACTCCATAGAATACATATACCACATTTTATTTTTTTACTTGTGAAATAATGGGCACTTAGATTGATTCTACATCATTGCAATTGTGAGTTATGCTGCCAAAAACATTCGAGCACACATGTCTATTTGATAAAATGATTTCTTTTTCTTTGGGTAGATCCCCATAAGTGGGATTGCTGGATTGAATGGTAGGTCTACATTTATTTCTTTAAGGAATTTCCATACTGTTTTCCACGGAGGTTGTACTAATTTGCAGTCTCACCAACAGTGTATAAGCATTTCCTTTCTGTCTGCATCCATAACAGTATCTATTGTTTTTCACTTTTTAATAGTGACCATTCTGATATGGGTCAGGTGGTATTGCATTATAGTTTTAGTTTGCATTTCCCCAATGATTATTGATATTGAGTATTTTTTCATATATTTGTTAGCCATTTGTCTATATTCTTTTGATAAAGTTCTGTTCATGTCTTTTGCCCACTCTTTAATGGGGTTGTTTGTTTTTCTTTTGCTGATTTGTTTGAGTTCTTTGTAGATTCTGGATATTAGTCCTTTGTTGGATGTATAGTTTGGAAATATTTTCTCCCATTCTCTAGGTAGTCTATTTACTCTGTTGATTATTTCCTTTGCTGTGTAGAAGGTTTTTTAATTTAATTAAGTCCCATTCATTTATTTTTCTTGTTGCTATATTTGCCTTTGGGGTCTTAGTCATAAAAATTCTTTGCCTAGGCCAATGCCTAAGAGAGTTTTTCCTACTTTTTCTTGTAGAATTTTTATGGTTTCATGTCTTACATTTATGCCTTTTATCCATCTTGAATTAAGTTTTGTTTTTGATGAGAGATAGGAATCCTGTTTCATTCTTCAACATGTGACTATCAAATTTTCCCTGCACCATTTATTGACTAGGGCTTCATTTCCCTAGTATATGTTGTTGCTTTTGCAAAGATCAGTTGGTCATAGCTATATGGTTTTATTTCTGGGTTATCTATTCTGCTCCATTGGCCAATGTCTCTACTTTTACCAGTACTACATGGTTTGGGTTACTGTAGCCTTACAGTATAATTTAAGTCAGATTATGTGATGCATTCAGATTTATTCTTTTATGCTTAAGAATACTTTTGCTATTCAGGCTCTGTTTTTATTCCAAATGAAGTTTAGGGTATTTTTCCTAGATCTGTGAATTATGATGTTGATATTTTGATGGGGTTTTCACTGAATCTGTAACTCACTTAAAGCAGTATGGACATTTTACTGATATTGATTTTGCCAATCCATGAGAAGGGATGTTTTTCCATTTGTTTGTGCCCTCTGCAATTTATTTCATCAGTGTTTGTAGTTCTCCTTGTAGTGATCTTTCACCTCCTTGGTTAAGTATATTCCTAGGTGTATTATTTTTGTTGTAGCTATTGTGAATGTTATTCTTTAATTTGACTCTCAGCTTGATTGTTACTAGTATATAGAAATGCTACTGATTTGTGTGCCTTGTTTTTGTAACCTTAGACTTTGATGAATTCATTTATCAATTCTAGGAGTCTTTTGGTGGAATCCTTAGGGTTTCAGGATACAAAATGATATCACCAACAAACAGGGATAGTTTGATCCCCTTTCCTAATGAGGATGTCCTTTATTTCTCTGTCTCTTGCCTGACTGTTCTGGCTAGGACTTCCAGTACTACGTTGAATATATGTGGTGACTATGGGCATGCTTATCTTGTTCCAGCTCCTAGGGAGAATGCTTTCAACTTTTCCCCATTTAGTATAATGTTGGCTGTGTGTTTGTCACTGAAGGCTTTTATAGTTTTGAGGTATGTTCCTTCTATGTCTAATTTGTTAAGAGTTTTTATCATGAGAGGCTACTGGATTTTATTAAATGCTTTTTCTGCATCTATTGAGATGATCATATGGTCTTTGTTTTTATTTCTGTTAATGTGGTGAATCATGTTTATTTATTTGCATATGTTGAACCATTCTTGCATCCCTGGGATGAAACCCAGTTGGTTTCATGGTGAATTATCTTTTTGATATGTTGTGGAATTTGGTTTACTAGTATTTTGTTGAGGATTTTTGCATCTATGTTCATAAGGGATATCAGTCTATAGTTTTGCTGTTGTTGTTGATGTTGTGTCATTTCCTGGCTTTGGCATCAAGTGATAATGGCTTCGTAGAATGAATTAAGGAGGATTCCCTCCTTTTTGATGTTATGGAAAAATTTCTGTAGGAGAGGTATCAGTTTTCTTTGTAAGTCTGGTAGAACTCAGCTGTAAATCTATCCGGTCCAGGGTTTTCTTTGGTGGGGTGAAGGGGGATTTTTTTTTATTAATGCTTCAATCTCATTGCTTATTCTTGGTCTGTTCAGAGGTTCTATTCCTTCCTGATTCCGGCTTGGGAATTTATGTGTTTCCAGGAATTTATACATTTCCTCTAGGTTTTCTAGTTTGTTTGCATAGAGCTTTTGTAGTATTCATGGATTGTGTTTTGTATTTTTGCAATATCAGTTGTAACGTATTCCTTTTTGTTTCTGACTGAGCTTATTTGAGTCTTTCTCTTCTATTTCTGGTTAATATGCCTCATAGTATCAATTTTGTTTCTCTTTCCAAAGAACAAACTTTTTTCATTGAACCTTTGTATTTTTGTTGTTGTTGTTATTTGTTTGTTTGTTTTCATTTCATTTAGTTTTGCCCTAAGCTTTGTTATTTCTTTTCTTCTGCTGGCTTTGGGTTTGATTTGTTCTTCTTTTTCTAGCCTTACTGCATCCTTTCTTTATGTTCCTGGGTCATCTATTCAATGATCTTTCTCAGCAAAGTATCTTCTAGTCTCTTTCAACTCTAATCCTAAAACATTAACTTTCACCTGCTAGGCATCCACGTATAAATAAAGGTTGTTTTTGAAAACATTATCTTCATTAGTTTGCAAGTACTCACCCAGTTTCTGTGTAGAATTAATGTAAAATAACATGATATTCAAACAGAAAATCTTTTGAGAAGACTACATTACTAAGTCAATTATTATTTCTTGTCACATCTGAATTCATCAGCATAATTAAGCCTCTCTCCACTCTTCTATTGTACCTTTCACCTCCCTCCTACATTATCAAATGGACTTATCTGCCTACAGGCCTGCCTCACCCTCTAAACTATGAGCTCTTTGAGGGTAACAGGGGCTGAATTTTTTAAAATTATGTAGCCCCAATATCTCTAACTTAATCTAGAGTATAACAAAGAGCAGGTGCTTGATAAATATTCAATAAATAAATAAACACACAAATATAAACTTCTTCCCTCCTTCGAATTCCTCCTCCACTGTGGGCACAAATGTGTAGACTTGATCTTACATGGATATGGCCATTATTATTTAGTTGGGGAATTATTGGAAGACACATTTTATAACTCTTGCCATAATTAATGTGACAAGAAATAATAATTGACTTAGTAATGTAATCAAATCAGAATGTATTTGACTTGATCTGTCAAGCTGTTATTCATATCTCTAATCCTTCTCGTCAGAGCTTTCAACACCT